TATTTTTCCAGCTTCTTTAGAGGATTCAAAAAGCCAATTTTGCCCATCGGGCTATGTCTGCGTTTTATGTTTAAAAAATTTAACCCCTCCAGTTCTTTCTTCCCGTAATCTTTTATCTCGCCCTTTTTTTTAATTTTGGGGGGGAAAATGGCTTATGAAATTCCAACTTTTCTTATAACCCTCCCCGGTTTTTTTTCGATTTCGGGTTTTTTTGGGTTTTTTAAAAAACCCCCAGCAATAATTCCTTCCCCCAAATAATTGAGTTAAATTTTTGGGGAAAATTTTCCTTTTTATCTTTTTCATCTTTAATATCTTTAAAATCGTCATCAAACAATTTTTACCAAATTTCCCAAATTTTTTCTAAATTTTTTTCCCTCAAATTAAACTAGTTTTTTTTGGGGCCCAAACTCGAAATACCCATTAATTTTCCAAAAAATTTATTATTTTTCCAAAAAAAATTTTTCATAATCATCTTTTTCTTTTTTAAACCTAGTTGTCTTCTGTTTAAAATTTTTTAAGATTCTTTAAAGGTTTCTTTTTTATCAAAACTTTTTTGGTAAAATTTTTTTTTTTTTTCCAGTTTTTTTCTTCCGTTTTTTTCTGTAATTTTTCCATCATATTCTTATTCATCTGGAATTAACCCTCAATCTTGGTTTTTTGCGTGTTTTAAAATTCAAGAGGGTTGATTAGTTTTCGTCAAATCAGCTTGTCCGGGGCAGGGGGAGGGTTAGCCCAAAGTTTTTACAAGTTCGTTTACAATTTTTACAGTTTTCTTTTTGAAACTTTCCCAAGGGAAACCAAAAAAAAAAACCCCTTTTTTTTCTTTTTTTCTTTGTTTTTCTGGAGATGGGTTTGTAAATTTTTGGCTGCCTTGCCAAAACATTGCCTCAGTAACAGGTTTGAAAAATTTGGTTCTTTCTTTTCTGCTTGGGAAATTGTCCACCCTCGAGCCCTTCCCTTTTTTTCCAAAACATTTTTTTTTTAAAAGCCGCCGAGTTTTGAGAAAATTTTTTAGTTAATTTTGATTTTTTTTGTTGATGTTTTTTCATTTTTTTTTTTATTCGCCCTTTTCAAAAAATTTTATCATAAAAAACGTCTCAAAGGGAACAACGAAACATCTTGGTTGGATCACCCCGCTTTTTCCCTTTTCAAATAAAAAAGGGAAAATATATCGATCTTAGTTCTTGATGATTTTTAAATTTGTTAAAAATTTTTCTTTTGGAACATCACCCCCATTGTTCGTTTGCAATTTTTTCTCAAATTTCCAAAATTTTCAGTCCGGGGGGAAAAAATTTGAAACAACCCGTATTTCGCCTAATAAACCTATTTAAAAATTTAAAAAAAAACCTTGGGGCAAGAAAAAAAGAATTACTTCCCTTTTTTTGTGATTGTGGGAAAAAAAATGATCTAAAACTTGTTCTTTTTTTCATTGTTTAGCGGAATTTTCCCTCCCAAAAACGATTTTTTTTTGCTTTTGACGAATGAGTTTAAAATTTTTAAATGGAAAAAGAGTTCTTTGGTTGTTTTTTTTAAAAATATATCATCAAACCCAAAGCCAGGTTTATCACGAAGTTTACATTTTTCACTTATAACTGTTTTTTTTTTCTTGTTGGGGGGGGATGGTTTTAAATTTTACACCTTATTTAAGTTAAAGTTTTTTTTGAAATAAAAGATTTTAATTCAAATTTGTTTTTCCAGTTTTCCGGGTTTGCCCCCCCAATAAGATAATGCAGTTGGAAGTTCATTTTTATGTTTTGCTTTTTCCAAACGCCCGGTTTTCCAAAAATTTTTTATCTTCGCCATCGGAATTTAATTTTTTTGTTATATTAAACCCCAAAATTTTTTTGTTAAAAACGGTATGTTTAATGAGCTTACTATACAAATTAGGAACTTTTGCCCGTTTGATTTTTAACGGAAGGTTACCAGGGGGACTTATCCAAGTTTGGACCCCTTGTTTAAACTCAAAAATGAAATCAACAAATTTTTTTTAAAAAAGTTGCAAGGGGTAGATCCAAATTTTAAGTTGTAGTTTTTTGGGGCAAACCAAAGGGCGATTAAAGGGGGGGTAAAAGTACAACTATAGAAAGTACTTTACGGGAAATTTCCCACTTTCAGTTGCTAAAAATATTGTTACTTTTTAACAATCAAGGTAAGATAGAAGATTCGGGGAGGTCAAGGGTTTAAAGTTTTTGTTTTGAAAAAACAGGTGATTTATTTACGGGGGAAACCCTTTTTTATGAACCAAAAAACAAAATTTACATTTCCTTGGAAACCCAATGGGGATTTTAAAGGGGCCCCTGCTACTAAGGAAATTTGTTTTTGATCGGGGAAACAAAGTAGTGTCCGTGATCGGTTATAATGCGGGGCATTTTCTTTTAACCATGAAAATAATGGCCAAAATAATTTAGAACACCGGGGAAACTGATTTTTGATGCTGTTTTAAAAAAAAGAAATTTGGTTTATGATATCAAAAAATGAAAACACCAAATTCAAAAATGATTTTACTTAAACACATCACCACGTGTTTAAATTTTCGCAAAGAAAAATAAACAAAAAACCAAAAAACGAAATTTTTTGGGGGGGTCCGCCATCCCGTTGTATTTCCCCTCGATAATTTTTTAACACAAAAAATCAACGATATTTTTAGGGGAATTTTCCTAGTATTGTTGGGGGGGGAAAAAGGTATGATTTTTAAAAATTTTCCCCACAAGCAGATTTTAAAAAATATTGTCCTTTACTGGTTTTCTTCTGGTTGGGCTACTTTGGTTCCCCCCGCCCAAAAAAAAACCCCTTCAAAAAATACTGCAGAGGTTTTACTGGGGGTTTTGGGTATAGATTTTTCCGTTTTTTAGCGGGCAAAATTTAATAATTTTCCCTTTTTTTCCTTTGGGGTTTTCCCCGACTTTTTAAAAAAATTCTCTGGAACCGTTGTCCATTGGGTTTTTTAAAAAAAAGATGTTGAAGAAATAAATTTTATGTAAAAGCAGAAGCAAAAAATTAACTGCCCGGGTTTATTTGGTAAATTTTTTGGAATTTTTGGCTTTAAAACACCTCAACTTGGGGGCTTTTAAACAAGCCCTTGGGGATTATGGGGAAACAAAAAATTTTTTTTTAAAGAAAAAAAAATTTAGGTTTATTTTAATTTAATTTCAAAAGTTATTCCCGGAAAAGGATTTTTTGAGCCCAATACAAAACTACAAAATTTTTCAAAAAAACTTTGGTTTCGTTAAAAAAAAGTTACCCCCAAAAATTTAACAAAAATACTTCGGGGTAATTTCATATCTACCCTTTTTTGGGTGTTCTGGACCCTAATTTCAAAAAGGTATATCATTAAACCCCCGGGTTTTTTTAATCATTTCCCGGTTTTTGGTTTTTTTTTCCTTACAGCAGCTTTTTTGGGGAAAAAAGTTGGGGGAAAATAAAATTTTATTTTTTAAAGGGACGGTGCCCCCTTTAAAATCAAAATTTTAAATTACAAAAAACCCACTTGATTTAAAATTTAAAATCTTACCTACGGGGGGGGAGGGGTTTTTAAAAATTTTAAAATGGAGAAAATTTTAATTTCGTGATTTCGTATTATTGACAACATGGGGTTTTTAAAAAGATTTTACCCCTGAAGATCAGCAAATTTTTTGGAAAAATTTTTCTTAAAGAAGTAAGAGGTTTAAAAAAATTAAGATATAATACCACTTACCTTACTGGAATTCTAATGCTTAATTTAGTCCACAATCGCCACGCTCTGCTAAATCGTAATGATTTGGAAAATTGAGTCTGACATATCATTCTGCTTATTCTGGAAGATCACGTAATTAAATTTTACCTGTTACCTAGGTATTTTGCAACAGGTGTTCTATTGTATTTGTTTGGAGGTCTAGAGAGGTTGTTGAGCTCGGATTCTTAACGCAATTATTGATTGCAACAGGTGTTCTATTACGTTACCTAGGTATTTTGTATTTGTTGAGCTCGGATTCTTAACGCAATTATTGATTGCAATAGGTTTTCTATTACGTTACCTAGGTATTTTGTATTTGTTTGGAGGTCTGGAGGGGGTTGTTGAGCTCGGATTCTTACTTTCTCCTACTACTCTGGTGTTAACATTCAACCAAAAGGCCCTTTTCCGGGACACTTCCTATGCCTCGAAAAGATCTTGATTCTTTCTTTGCCTATATGTGTTCTCTCTCTCTCTCTCTCTCTCTCTCTCTCTCTCTCTCTCTCTCTCTCTCTCTCTCTCTCTACTATATTTGTCCCTACCTAGAGTGGTAGCTGCGTGTATTTAGGTCAGCCCCCTGCTACATTGTTGCAAGTGTCCAGTACCGTGACGTCACACCACCTGTGCTAATCGTCTTGTCCCTATACAAAATTCCCATTGAAGTTATACTATCCCAGAGTGATAATTTTTGGCTATAAATCTTGAGGCAATACGATCCCGGGGGTGGGATGGGTGGGTCTATAATGCTAATTCTCATTGAGAATATACTATCCGACTATATGCTGTTTTGTTTTTTTATTTTAGCATCTCATGGCATTCTCAGTTCTAACAAAATGTTCGATTTGGTACCTCCTATCAGAAACTAAGCAATTAGTATAATATCCCTTCTGAATGTAGAAAGGAATGTATGCCTAGCCATACTAACAAAGCTTTTGTCGAAAAACATGATTAAGAACAAGTGCATTGATATTTCATTGAAGGAAGATGGAATTCAAGGTTAGACTTCGCCAATGCATATGATAGCATTCCACTCAAGTTGGTAAAATTTACCTTAAAGAAATATGTGTGTGTGTGAGTGTGTAAAATTTGGATTTTTAACATAACTATAACACTATACAGTCATATCGCTTCAGTTTACAGATGCCTAGCACTGGGGCATCATGCCGCAGATATGTAGCACGATGACCCACCCAATACCTTATCCTGACATCAGGCCGACCCGTCGTAACACTAGCCTCTTAATGCTGAACGCACAGCGAGGCAGCTGTTGATACCATTTTTATGAGTCTTTTGTATGACTAAGCCGATGTTCGAACCAGCGACCTCTCGCATCAAACGCGGACGCTCTAACCACTAGGCCACCGGTGCGTTCCCTTAGGGGAATATCATGTACCAGAGAAGTTCAGATGCATGCTAAAATACTATTCTGATAACTTCAAAATACACTTCACCTTGTCGGACTACAAAACATCGTGGCAGAGATTAGAGGCTGGCGTCATAACTGTATGCAAAATTTTAGTGATAATATTTTGAGCTTCAGTGAATGTGCTTGCAAAGTCAGCAGAGAAGATAGGACGATGACAAATTATATCACCTTGAGTTGGGCAAGCCTCCTAAAAATGCCTTCATGGGTGATATGACAACGACATCCAAGTCAGTAGCAGAAGGTAAATGGATTATATATAACGTGCGATAATTTCTTTATCTTTAGAATTCGCTAGTAACTGTCACCCAAGGATTAAATTTACGTCAGTTATCGAACAGGGCCTGCATCTTTCACCCTAGGATTACATTTACATTGAAGTCATCGAAGAGGGCCTGCATCTATCACCCTAGGATTATATTTATGTCGGAGTCATCGAACAGGTCCAGTATCGTTTTAGATCCTCAATATACCATTCTGGAGGAGAACATAGAAACTGGCCTATATTTTTAACATTCTGACTCTAACAAATATCTACCGAGGACCAGCTGCTAACACCAACTCGAAATAAAAAAAAATCTCCCTTATGGTATTTGCGTTCTAACCAAAAATATTTGCTCTAATTCTACCACCTTTAAACAAAGACACGGAGAACTCAATTATTATCATCATCATCATCATCATCATCATCATCATCATCATCAACAACAACGCCTGTGATCCCTGATGGGGCATACACCGCCAACAAACTATCTGCAGCCATCCCGGTCTTAGGCAAGTCTTTCAGGTGTGGCCTTTATTCTTTAGGTCCCACCGCCATGTTTTTCTTGGTCGGCCTCTTCCTTTTCCTGTGGGTTTCATGTGAGTGTTTGCCTTGTGGTACTTGATGCAGGCTTACGAAGTATGTGGCCTAACAATCTTCAGCGTCGTTGGAGAATTTCTTCCTTTGCATGCTGTTGTAATGTTCGCTGCCACAGTTGTTCGTTACTGATTTTGTCTGGCCAACGAAATCGGAGGATTCTTCTGAGGCAGGTAATGATGTGATGTGATGTGATTATGATTTTTAACGTAGCTTTAACAATTTTTCAGTCGTATCGCTACGATGTCTGCAATGTGGCAGTTTATAGTGATGTCTATCACTGAGGTATCATGCCGCAGATATGTAACATGATGTTCCACCCAGTCACATTATCCTTACACCGGGCTGATCAGTCCTAACACTAACCTTTTAATGCTGAGCGTCAAGCGAGGCGGCTGTTAGTACCATTTTTGTCAATCTTTGGTATGACTCGATCGGGGATCAAACCCACAACCTCCCCTATCCGAGGTGTACGCTCTAACCACTAGGCTACTGGAGCAGTTGGCAGGTATTGATGAATGTCTGGATCCTTGTCATACTGGTGGTGGTGGTTCTCCAGGTTTCAGCTCCATAGAGTAGGTCACGTTTTACGATGGTTTTTAACATTCGGATCTTGATAATAGTTGTCTGTTCTGTGGATGACCAGACATTTTTCAGCTGGCAGAATGCTGTTCTTGCCTTGCTGATACGGGTTTTAATATCACCTTGAGTTCCATCATCTTTGTCAACTGTGCTGCAAGGCAGGTGAAGCTCTCCATCTCTTCCAACTTCACACTTTCCAGCTTGATGGGTGTCGAGTTTGCTGTGTTGACCTTCGTGATCTTGCTCTTTCCTTTGTTTATATTAAGACCAGTGCTTGCTGATGCTTTTGCACTTATGTTGGTCTTTACTTGCATCTGCTGTTGGGTGTGGGAGAGAAGCGCCAGGTCATCGGCAAAATCAATGTCGTAATATTGTGTCCCGACGGTCCACAGTATGCCATTTTGTTTTGGGCTGTTGATGATTTCATCATCCAGTCTCTCACTAGCAGAATAACTCAAGGTGCACCTTAAAAGAGGAGGATACATAATAAGCTACACTGAGGAGACTATTAACAAAACTAGACTCCTCGACAGAGAAACCCTTGTAAAAAAAAAATAGTAAGACAACCAACAAGCCTGTCCCTTAGTGCTAGCTAGTCCGAGCTTCCCCTGACCCTTGCCATATTAGTTTGATATTTGGACATTTATTTTAAGTGTGTTCCCAACATAAATGTCCAAATATAAAAAATGAGGTGGCAAGGGTCAGAGAAAGCTCTGACTAAGTGCTAGCTTTCTTCTCAATGCCACAAACCTGCAACGGACCATACGCAAGCATTGGCACTATAATGAATAGTCCGAAAGTTCAAGTGCATATTTCAAGAATTTCCTATCGTTGCGTACTGTTGACCTAAAATCCTAAGGATCATCTCGTACGTACCCGGGTAAATTAAAAAAAGATCGGATTCAGTTAAATACGGTTGCAAAGACAAGCGTTTCCTATTTGCCAGAGACCTAATTTTTCACAAGTTCAACAATAGGAGTTAGCTACACGACCCCCGTCGAAGGGAAGGATGTTTTTAGCCGATTTTAAAACTTTTATTTTTTTGACCCCTCAAGATCTGTGCAAACAAATTTTTTGGCCCCAAAAACCCCCGAAATTTTTTTTGAGGTAAGCGGCACGCGAGAATACATTTCTTAATTAAGTCTATTTTTTCCCCCTTTGGAAAAAACCCCTCGGGTGAAAAGAATTTTCAAAGGGGGTTTTTGCCTCATCCCCCATTTTATGAAAAGGGGGAAGGGGAGAGAGGAGAAGAGAGAGAGGGGGATGGG